CCATTCTGTAGGTTGTCTGTTTGCTCTCATGATAGTTTCCTCGGCTATGCAGAAGCTTTTTAATTTGATCAGGTCCCATTTACCTATTTTTATTGTTGCTGTGATTGCCTCTGGGGTTTTCTTCAAAAATTCATTTGCTAGGCCAATGTCTATAAGAGTTTTTTCAGCATTTTCTTCTAGAATTCTTACAGCCTCATGCCTTAGTTTTAAGTTTGTTATCCACCATGAGTTGATCTTTGTGAGAGGTGAAAGGTGCAGATCCTGTTTTAATCTTCTAGGTGTGGCTATCCAGTTTTCCCAGCACCGTTTATTGAATAAAGATTCTTTTCCACAGTGTATGTTTTTGTCTGCTTCGTCAAAGATTATATGGCTATATGAGGATGGTTTTATATCCAGGTTCTCAGTTCTGTTCCATTGGCCTATGTCTCTGTTCTTCTGCCAGTACCATGCTGCTTTAGTTACTGTAGCCTTGTAGTACAGCTTGAAGTGTAGTAAATTGATGCCTCCCAATTTATTCTTTTTGCTTAAGATTGCTTTTGATATATGGGGTCTTTTCTGGTTCCATACGAAGCATAGAATTATTTTTTCTATATCTGTGAAAAATGATGTTGGTATTTTAATAGGGATTGCACTGAATCTGTAGATCACTTTGCGTAGTATAGACATTTTAACAATATTGATTCTTCCAATCGATGAACATGGTATGGTTTTCCACCTGTTTACATCTTCTGCTATTTCCTCCCTCAGTGTTTTGTAATTCTCCCTGTAGAGGTCTTTCACCTCTTTAGTTAAATATATTCCTAGGTGTTTTATTTTCTTTGTTGCTATCATGAAGGGTATTGAGTCTCTGATTTAGTTCTCACTTTGACTGTTGGTGGTGTATAGGAATGCTACTGATTTGCGTACATTGATTTTGTAATCTGAGACTTTACTGAATTTGTTCATCAATTCCAGTAGTTTCATGGCAGAATCTTTGGGGTTTTCTAGATATGAGATCACACCGTCAGCAAAGAGCGATAGTTTGACTTCTTCTGCCCCCATTTGGGTACCCTTGATTTCCTTCTCTTGTCTGATTGCTCTGGGACTTCCAGCACTATTGTTGAATAGAAGTGGGATAGAGGGCAACCTTCTCTGGTTTCACTTCTGAGAGAGAATGCTTTCAGTTTTTCCCCATTCAGTATGATACTGGCTGTGGGTTTGTCATATATGGCTTTTGAGGTAAGTCCCATCTATGCCTATTTTGTTAAGCATTCTTATCATAAAAGGGTGTTGAATTTTCTTGAATGCTTTTTCTGCATCTGTTGAGGGGATCATGGTCTTTGTTTTTACTTCTGTTTATGTAGTGAATTACATTTATAGATATGCATACGTTGAACCATCCCTGCATCTCTGGGATGAAGCCCACTTGGTTGTGATGGATTATTTTCTTGATAGCACCTAAATTCAATTTGCTAGGATTTC